ATAAATAACCTCTGGTTCAGTGTTACAATTGGTTTAATCCTGAACAGATTTCAGGGGGGAAGGGGGGAAGCGGTCAGGGAAGGAATGCAGCACAATGCAGATTTACTCTTGCATAAAACAACATGTTAAAATTGTGTCTGTGTGTATGTGTCTGTGTATATATATATATATATATTCACATTTTTAAGAACATGCACACTGATAATCTCAGATCACAGAACTATGAAATATCTTGGCTGTGTCTTGACAGAAAGATACGCCATTCACTACTATATATACTAAATTTCTCATTTTTTGTGGACCTTGACCTTAGGAAGAAACCTTTCTTCTATGTATTTTTGTGGTCTAGGAAGTACAAAAACAAGTAATTTGTCTAAATGGAACAATATTGCACTGAGAATCCATCAGTCTGTAGTTACAGTCCATTTTACAGTATCATCAGCCTCTTAACTTCAGATGCATAAACAGACTTACAGGCATGGCTGCAGATGCAATAGCAACTGTTAATGATAACATATTGTTGTAGAATCTGTGTTTTAAAATCTTAGCTAGCTTTATATTTTGAAAATTTTCAAACAAAAATGTGGATTTGAGGTGGTAATGCAGCTTGTCAATTTGTAAGCTGTGTTTGTCTCCTGTGTTTCCCAGGGCATCTGTGAAGTGATTGGCAATAGTGTAATTATGCAGTGTTTACATGATGGAATTACAGAATGCTTCCTGGTTTTCTTGCGAGTAGCCAGTTCTTGTTGCACACACCTACTTCTTGTTCTCTTGGTCCAGGGAGTACACGTACACTTCAATCTGTATATTGAAATTGCAGTGTTGCAGCCATATAGGGTTGAGGAGATAAGAATGTTATATGTGAGCTAAAGGTTAATAAATTAGTCTTGAGTTTGAAAGAGTTCTATAAGGTAAAAAAAGAGCTTGAGAATATTTGAGAATAATTGACCTTAATAATAAACATTAATCCCCTTACCATCATCTTTTGTTAATTAATTGAACTTCATAGTATACTGTGGACTTAAAGTCATCCTTTTTAGAGTATCAGTATCTTTTAAGAACATGTACAAACTGAAAAGAAACCAAAGATCTACAAACTGGAGAAGTATTACAAACCTTCTCAGAATATCAGTGTTCTGAGACAGCACTTAATCCTGTTATGGTGCAATAAACATAATTTTTCTTGGGTCATGGTTAATGAATGTAATGGCAGTCTGTCGATCATAGGGTTATTATGTCACAGATAATGATCTTCACACAAAGTTCCTTCACTCTTGCGCCCAGATACAGTTTTCTTTCCAATGTAACTCTGTTTGCAACTTTCATCTTGCAAATTTTCTGTTGTGTTTTAGTTCATGTTATGTTAATCTTACCCCTTTGCCATACCTATTTTGAAAGTAAATACTGTTTATGTTGAGACAGGTTTGAGGGCCCTAAGCAGCTGGGTATTACCTTATGTTGATTGCTTCTCAATTGTAAAAGACTGTGTTGGGCGCAAAAATCTTGTGCTATTTAAAGAATCTGGAACAAAAAATAGAGTCATAGGGATGTAACACTCTGAAGTAGTGGTGATCTTTTTATGTAAAAACCTTATTATGTTTTATAAATCTACTTGGGAGCAGATCCCCTGACATAGTTCATATCTTAAGTCTTCAGTGTTCAAGCATGATCCAACATAGCAGAATTCATAGAATAATTTATCAAGTACTGCCTGTATTTCAGGGCCTCTCTCTCCTTCCTTTTGTTTAAGGTCCAGAGTGGGTCACTGAATTACTTTTCCACAGTTTTTTAGTGTCAATTTAATTTATGGAGTGTCTGGGATGAGAGAGCGGCTGCTATTCATTCTCACGGTGTCTGATTTCTGACAGGCGATAACACCTGGGCAGAATATCCACATGGCCAGAGTGGCCTCCTGTCTAACCTACAGAATGTGCTGTAATAGTAAGAAGTCAGTATTTGATTAAAAATAAAATTGGTGTGGAGTGCAGATGAAAAGCCAGAGTAGTGCTGAGTTTATATCCTTCCTGTAGGGGTGATTTGAAAATCACATCTTGTGATTGTTGCTAACTGTGGTGTGTATCTTTGAAAGTATCAAATGCTTATGTAGAATTCTAAATGAGTTTATTAGAGGCCATCTGTCCATGTTTATACAAGTTTGTTATGATCCCGACTCTGCTATATGGTATTTCAAATATTTTTTCTACTTGAATTACAAGACTTGCATTTTGAGTTAATATTAAAATGTTGCGGCTAAGGATGACATTGAGCTTTTATTCAGTTTAAGACATTTCATGAAAATCCGCATTTGTAATTTGATTTGAGGCAGGACTTATTTCACAGCAAGATGCGCCCTTGTTGGCACAGGTTCACATGGCTAACCAAACTCGCCAAAGGGCTGTTGTTTTTCCGTGACTGATGCTTTCTCTGAGCTGTAGTGTCCTGGGAACACTGATCTGGGTACCCTGTGTTCAGTCTGCTGTGTGCTGTGGACAGCCTGCCTCAAGTTGCAATTGCATGCTTTATCCTGGCTTTAAAAGGCTTCTGCTGTTTTCCTGAGAGCCATATTTTTCTATCTAGCTAGTACTGTTTGCAAACAAACCAGTAATTTTTGAAGTGATGCTGGTAATTATTAGCAGGTAGCATTTAGGCAGGTGTATTTGATATGGCAGCGCTAGGCAGTTTGTTAACCTGCTGAGCTGCATAGCTGCCATCTTGGCCACAGCAACACAGTTTCGACTTCCCTGAGAACAGGAGGAGGAGGGTGAGGAGCAGAGTGGCAGGTCTGAGCTGGTGTTTTTGGAGAGCTCCTTGTTGGAGCAGCCTCACTTGGAGCAGTGCTGTGTCTGGATTTAAAAATGTATGTCAGCAATAGGAGCAGATGCAACGGGTAGGTTTGGCTTACTACATACCTTGCCTCTCCCCAGAGATCACTGTGGAATTTACCCTGCTCAGCTTCAGTGAGATGTTCTTTTCTGCATCAAGATTTTCTTTAGAAAAGGAGCTCTTAGTCTATGAGACAGCATATAGTGAATTAACGCTGAGAAGGAGAACAAGTAATACAGAAGCTGCATCTTCTCACTCTACTGAGAAAAGTGTCTGTGGTTGGCCATTCTCATGGGGAATCTCTCTCAGTAAACAACTTTTGTCACACCTTGTTTGTGCTGCTTATAATCCATATTTTATATCCTAGTGATCCACATGTAATTACACATTGGTAATCTCACCTGAATTTTTTAATACGTTTTGGGGTGTTACGTGAATTTATATAGCAGTTAGAAGTGGCAATAAATAAGCAAATTTGCTGTATACATGTTCTGGACTTCAAATTGAGCATAAGTAACCTTATTGGGTTTATGTTGTAAACGTTGGGGGAATATGAAGAAGTGGATTTATGCTTACAATTAAAAAAAACCCAAAAAAACCCAAAAAAAAACCCCACCCCAAAACAACCCCACAATTAGAAGATTTTTGATCCTAAGAGCTTGGTTCTTTGTAATTTCTGCAACCTTAATTTGGAGGATAAAGTATTGCCCTTCTTAAAGAACTGGTAGGTCAGATCCATCATTAATAATAATATATTTGTGGGACAATGATCTAAATCAAACCTGTGCTCAAATTTCTGTTTTCTTAGCTGCATAAAGAATTTAACCAGTTTTGTAAAGTGCTTTCTATCTGGCGTTTTCTACATTAAAAAAAATAAAAACAAAAGCCAGTCCATTTTGTAGACAGTAAAATGTACTGTTCTCGTTCAGTCCTCAAAAAAATGTCAATAACCCAGTTTTGGTCAGAAACTGAAGAAAAAAATACTGAAATGCAGAAGAATCACATGTGTATTAGACTGTTAGTGTTTTATTTGAATAGAATTTTAATGATGGGATGACAAAACAGTCTTAGGTGATAGAAGTTAGGCAGCAGTGAGCAAAGGAGGTGGTGCTTGTGTATCCCACAAACTTGTAATAATTTTACCCTGAGGGTTGTTTTTTTTTTTTAACTCTAGATAAACTTTGGATGTGTACTAATCTTACAGTCACTATGGTGATGACAGAACCCTCAAGCGCTTGTTCTACCTATGAAATATACTGTATCAGGCATGGCATTTATCTAAGGAAACTCAATATTCATTTTTCTTAAAAAAAAACCCAAACAAACAAAAAACAACCAAAACCCCCTAAAAACCAAAAAGATGATGATGTAAAGCTTTGCTGAGACTTAGTTGGAAAAAAACCTATGTATTATTGTTATAAATCTATTTCTTGTAATAGATTAGCTGTTTCATTATGAAAACGGAAAACTTTGTCCGTCTTCCTAAAAAAGCACCATGCGAATATCCAAGGTGCATTAAGTGTTGCTTATAAAACATCTACTCTGTGTACACTACTGTTTATTTTATTCAACTATGTTGATTGATTAAGTGCTGCTAACTACATCTTAGGTGGTTGTATTCTCTTTTCTGAGTTTTCTGTCTGTGGTCATTAGAGAAGATGACCTTGAAATCTTGTGCTTTTAGCATAGGCTTAAGGTTGTAGGGTCCAGTACTTCTGGGGACAAATAGGACTGTAGATTTTATTTCTTTGTTTTACAAGCTACTGGTTATTGTTTAATGTGAAAGATGTTGCTGTGAGTTTCTCACTTGAGTGCTGGTACTGAAAAATGTTTGCAGTAACTTGCATTATGTTCTCAGGGTTAATGAATTCAGAAGGATGGAACAGGGTAAAACAATCAAGAGCCTAAACTTCAAGAGGGAGAAACAAACTCGCTCTCCCCTCTCCTTGCTAGTTTCTACCATCCCTGGCAGTGTTCAAGGCCAGGTTGGACAGAGCCTTGGGCAACATGGTACAGGGTGAGGTGTCCCTGACCAGGGAGTTGGTACTAGATGATCTTAAGGTCCTTTCCAACCCTAACTATTCTATGATCCTATCATAACACAACTTAATATGAATAATAAACTTACATATGAAAGAGAGAAAAGCTATACCATTAACTTGTTTCTTTATTTTTAGGTTGACAAAGCCCTTGTCATTTGCAGATTGCGTTGGGGATGAACTGCCATGGGGTTGGGAAGCTGCATATGATCCTCAGATTGGTGTATACTATATTGATCACATAAACCGTAAGTATTTTTTGTTTTGCCATATTGATTATATGAAAAGGCACATCTTGATTAGACTTTCTTGAGGAGCTTATGGAGTATGGCTGGGAATAGGGAAAGATTTTTTATGAGAGAAGTGTAGTAAGTATCTGGTTGTCAGTAGACATTATCCCATTTGTGTGCATGGGTTTGTTGGGGATGGTTGCAGTTGTATTATAGGTGGCTCAAAATTATTTATGGGACTATTCATCTTTTTTTTTTTTTTCTTGCCTGTGGAAGAAGTCCATGTAATGTGTAATAAATAAAAATAGTTAACATCTGTTGGTATCTATAACATGTAGGATGTTTGGTGGCTATTAAATATTCAGCAATGCACACTGGCAGAGATAGTCTGATATGAGTAACAGAATCTGGCTTCAGTCTAACTACTGAAAGGAACTGTTGTAGATAAGATAGTATGGGGTATTTGTAACTTGTATATGAGTTCTGGCAAATGTATCGTAGTTCTAAGAATGTTGTAGAATACATTTCAGGCTATAAATAATGCTGTATTTTTAATGTATCATTTGGAAAGGGAATGGGGATTCAAAATGTTGGGGAAGATTTGCCCTTTCATATAATGTTATTGGCTTTAAAAGGCTAGTAAGAAAATCTGCTGGTACGAAATGACTACATCTGTTCCTACATATATATTTTAATTGAATGGGAATATGTCTAAACCTCACAAAATTGTAGCAAAATTTGAAATATAATGCTTGTTAGACTTACTGAAATGAATATATTCCTGAAAGCATTTCTGTCTTCTTTTTATGCATTTATTACTCCATATTAATTGATACCTTTCTTTATTTTCACAGAAATTGTCCTTAATATCACAATAGAAGAGATTCTATTTAAGATCAGTACTTGAACATAGGCGCAGGCATTTGCACTATCAGTGCTATGTACTCAACTTAAAAAGCAGTAAGGTGTCTATGGCCATTTCAGATGCTTTAGGTTTGCTGAGACAACTGCACAAGGTCACTACATATGTCATGGACAGTAAGAGACCAGTGGCCTTCCGGAACAAAAGCTGTAGACAAGGCTTGTTACCTCATGACATCTCAAATGTATGGGCAAGTGAATCAACCCTGAGATGTCTCAGCTGCTTTTGTAGTCAACAGCAATCAGTCAATACAGTCAGTGTAATGTAGTTGACTGGTTGGGTGTCTGCTTTGAAGATGAGCTTATTTAAACTCTTTTGGTTGGGTTGGGCTGGAACTCTGATAATGAAAATGGGACATTAGATACCTACTGTGCTTATTGAACACCTGCAGATAGGCACTTACTCTTGAACTGAATCTCGCTCAATAACCTCATTTGGGCTTTTGTAGCCCTGCTTTATTGGAATAGCAATGAGAGTCCTCTGATCCTGTGTGTGGTGTTAAATGTTCCTGAACTTTAAAAAATAGGGACATACTTGATGGAATTCAAAAGGTGAAGTAAGTAAAGGAAACTTGCCTTTAATTTCTGCTTTGGCCAAAACTATAAAGCTTAATACTAAAATTTTGAGAGGCAATCTGCATTTATATGTGTTTTGAAAGTGCTTTCAGATCACTGCTTGGATAATTGTGCTCTTGCATTTCATGCATGCTCAAAGCTTTTAATCCGTTCTAAAATTATCAATGTTGTAGTTTTGTTGCCTTCCCCCTCTCCCCCAACAAAGAGATCAAATGCTTTGAAGGCAAATTCCTGAATATTATAAAACTGTCCATGGGCTGAGGTTTTACTTTGCACACATGTAAGATGTTGAGGCTTGGACACCATTGTCTTGAAATTCTCTTGTTAATTGTTGATATACTGCAAACACTAATAATAGAGGAGAGTTGTGTATATCCATCTGTACACATGTATCATTCTGTGCCTGGGGTAAATCCATACACTTAGCTAGGTTTCTTTATATTATGTTAATGCATATGATGGATGACAAAATGGTATACTTTGGTATACTTGAAGTGGTTTCTGTCCATTGTTCAGTAGTATATTGGTTCCTGTGGTATTAATGTGTGTTGCTTTGTAGCAATTTCAGTGAAAGTCCTTATTTTGTAAAGTGGTTTATTTTAGTTTTGTACACTGTATTTTGTATTTTTGTATGCAGTGTTTTGCTGAGAGTACTTTTGAGTTGCAGAGAGGTAAACTGCCTCAGAATCTTACAAGTAGGTCATTTGTCTGACATGCCAAATGTGGAGATTATAAATTCTACTTCATTTGACTGGGGTACATGTGTTGTTTTGATGCTATTGAAATTTCTAGTATGGAGGTCACCAATAATTAGGAGGGAAGAAGCAGGTTTTGCCCCTGCTTACTGCTTTATTAACAGTGTAATAATTCAGATGTTGAATATGCTTTCCTGCTTTTTGGTTTTGAACTGTTAAAATACTCTCAAACAGTGGCTGTGTTAGAACAAGGAAGACTCCTTTACTCTTTCACCTGCCTACATTAATTTTAATTTTGTTAATTCTTTCTTTTACTGGACAAAAAAGCCCAGTGAAATAGAAAAACTGTACCTGCTGAGAGGGGGGAGACCAAGTAGATGCCTGAAAAACAGGTTGAATAAAGCAGAATTTCAGGACCCATAAATGGCAGCTTGATGGATAGCTCCTTGGGGAAAATTCTGCTTCCATGTGCTAGCTAGGGAGAGCTGACGAAAGACATTTTGTGTTCATTGCCTTCTGGCAGGATTTATTTTGGCAAAATATTTGAGGCAGGGCTCATTTTGATGCTTTTCTCTCAAATCCCATATTTAATTATTCTGAAAAGCTTCTGTATTATCTTTACTCTTTAATTTCTCTTTCTAGTATCATTTTTCTTGTGTGCCTCTGTACAAAGCTAGATTTGATAAAACTCTGAAGTTTCCGGTTGTCCACAGAACTTTGGAGCCATTGTAGTAAAATTGGCCAATCTTGTTTAGTTTCTCAAACCAACCCAATAAGCTATGAGCAACAGGCATCCCTATAGGCCCCCTTCAGATACTGGAAGGCTGCTATGAGGTCTCCACGCAGCCTTCTCTTCTCCAGGCTGAACAGCCCCAACTTTCTCAGCCTGTCTTCATATGGGAGGTGCTCCAGTCCCCTGATCATTTTTGTGGCCCTCCTCTGGACTTGTTCCAACAGATCCATGTCCTTTTTATGTGGAGGACACCAGAACTGCACACAATACTCCAAGTGAGGTCTCACGAGAGCAGAATAAAGGGGCAGGATCACCTCCTTCGACCTGCTGGTCACACTCCTTTTGATGCAGTCCAGGGTACGGTTGGCTTTCTGGACTGCAAGCGCACACTGCCGGCTCATGTTCATTTTCTCATTGACCAGCACCCCCAAGTCCTTCTCTGCAGGGCTGCTCTGAATCTCTTCTGTAATGGCAGAGTACATGTTTTATAGGGTAATAGTGCAATGCAGTGAAAAAAACAACCACTTGCCTGGTTATTCCTGAGCCTGAAAATGAGAACTGGAAGTAAAAGAGAAAGGTTTAGGGATTCATTCGACACTGGAGGCAAGACAGCACTTGTCCCAGTCCCAGACTCCCTCACACTATCCTGTCAAAGCTGAATTAGAAGTTTTCCTTTCTTGTTCCCATTACACCCACAGCTGTTCATCTACACACATGCAATGATCCAGATCAGAAAACCTGAGCAGCTGGGGGAAGGAAGAGGAGGTTGAGAACAACGACTCACACACCTCAGGAAGCAGAGTGCTTCCCCGTGGTCCGTGTTTACTGCATGTCCTCATGCCGACACAATGTGGGGACAGGAACAAACGTGTGACTGCTGCTTCACCTGCCACCACCACCCAAGAAGTGCACCTGGAAATCGCAGCCTCAGAGTCAAAACTGCTTCCTGATAAACGTGCAAAGGGCATGGAACAAATCAAAGTTCAAGGGTGCCATTTCAAAATACCTTCAACTAGTGCTACCATGAATAGCAGCTGTCCCCTGCCTCTCCCACCTGACTGTTCATTCATCTCCCCAGGTCACCTTCCCTTGCTTGCTTGCATGAATAGGGGTGTGGAAAGCAGAACAAATAGCAACAATTCCCCCACCACCACCACCAGCTTGGTTTCAACTTGAATCAGCTCCCTGATCTGATTCACTGTCTGGCCATGCAAATGTTCATGCCAGTATAAGCAAAAACATTGCAGGGACAGAACAAAAGGCCAGAGGTAGCAATAGAGCAAGACCAATACTTTCAGAGATTGTATCAGTTTAAAAGTGTTTGCAAATCCGAGCTCTAGGAACATAAATGTTTGCATCTCAGCCACTTAACACCTGATGTTGAAAACCCTGCAGAAGAATGGAAAAATTTGAAAGTGATGACTTTGCCTGTAGCTATATGAAATGAAGTGGAATAATAGTTTGTGTTATTTTTGGTATTGCCTTGAGTTCCTAACAGTGTTATTTAGCAAAATTAGTAAGTGTTAGCAAATTAGCTGAAGTAGATGAACACAGGAGTACATATACGCAGCAACTATTGTAAGAGTGAACAGCATAAACTTTGTCATCTTTGGGCTCCCCCAAGCCACAGTAAGAAGGATCCTGCACAAAAGCATCTCCTCAGTCCCTGACCACCAAATAATAACCCTTCGGTCACCCCTCTAAGGGTGCTCCTGAACCACAGGATAAGCACTTAGGTTCTTATGGTATTAGCTATGCATCATATGCATGTTTCGTCTTGCCAGATGGCTTGTAATCTGGTCTCCCTTGAAGCTGAAAGCATCACATTAAAACTCCTAATTGGGGTAATATATTCATGAAGTAATGACCTCAGCCACTGTTTCTCAAAGTGGGTTACATCATCCAAGAGGATCATGAAAAAGCTCTAAGGCAATCAGTAAAAGCTAAAAAAACCCCGAACTGTATTTGAAAAAAAAATACACTCATTAAAATATATAAAATTATAGAAAAAGTGTGATTATAATAAAACAAAATTACACTTAAACATATTGCCACCAAAAGAAAATTCTTCATGCCTGATGGAGTGTTTTACA